ACACTTGTAACTAACATGTAGATCAAGAATGCCAGCACCTTAGACCACCCCTGCCCCATGCCTGCTTTCTTCTTGTTCTTGAATTCCTTTTTTTTTTTTTTTTTTCTTGAGAGAGAGAGGGAGAGAGAGGGAGACCGAGGATCCAAAGCAGGCTTTGCGCTGAGTGGAGAACCCGATGCTTGGCTTGAACTCATGAGCTGTGAGATCATGACCTGAGTCAAAGTCAGCTGCTTAACCAACCGAGCCACCCAGGCTCCCCTCCTTGTTCTTGAGTTCTAACACTGTAAATTAGTTTTGCCTGGATTTGAACTTTATAAAATGGTATGTGTCTGGATTTTTTTTAAAAAGAACATATTCATTTTAATCTTGGCAGTTAATTGAGAAATAACAGAAAGCAGTGTTTAAGCCGCTGTTTTGGGGTATTTGGAACAGCAGTTAAGAGTTGGGATTTGTAATCAAATTCTAGCACTGTACTGCATTGTTCTTGACTTTCAAATGAGAAATGTAGGGTTTAAATGAGTTTAAGGGTTTTGTAAATTGTATAACATATAGTAAATGCTCAGTGAATGCTAGCCATTTTGTGTTATTAATAGGACCAGTTATGATTATGTCTGCCCTAATTAAAATATAATTAATCTAGACATTACCTACTTTAAGGTTGTGCCCTACAGAAAAAATAGACTTTTAAAATATCTCTACAGAAAGCACATACATTTTCTTACCATTATGTCAGCAATGTGTTTACACATGTTACTGCTCAAGGTAGAGCACTGACTAGCAAACAGGGAAGGACAGCAAGTTCATGAAGTAGAATTTGTTTATATAATGACTGTAAACAAAAATCATACTTAGAACTTAGCTTGGTGCTTTCAAAGAAAGCTGATCTTGGATTGGTTAGGAGTTAACCGTTCTGTTGTGGCCCTTTCGTTTACTAGAGTGTCTGATCTTGGGCAAGTGATTTAACTTTTCTGGTCTTTGTTTCTCACTTACCAAATAATTGTGTTAAGTTAGGTCAGTTTTAAAGTTTGAGTTTTCTGGGTTTGATTCTTTATGTATTGCAAAAAGCTGGAGAGTTGTCTGCTTTGTTTTTTCTCAAAAAGCGTAAGTCAGAATCCTTACATATCCATTTTACATGTTTAACAGATAAGCTTCCTGTCAAAGAGAAGTAGCAAAAGAACGCTTTTTTTTTTTTAAATGTGTGGACTAGATGATCTCTGGTCTCTTTTACAAGTTCAGAGGCTCTGTGGTTATATACTATTTAAGGGCTGTGAAACAAGACTGCACAGGAGGAAAAAAGGAAGATCCTGAAATATGTGGGGCATAATATTTTGGATATGACAAAGGTCCTGGAAAATCTAGTCCCTTCCCATTTTATACGGGGAAATCAGGTGACTTGTTCTGAGCTCAGCTAATAATAGAAATTTATACTCTTAAGTGCTGATATTAAGCAGGCAAACATCTTACTTAAAATAACTGATCAATTCATTTGGATGATTATATTGTGAAAGTATGCCACTGTATTTATTTGTGCTTCTGTGTTCTGTGACTTATTTTCATTTTTTACTGAAGTTACAACCTGTGATGGCTAACTAAAATTAAACAGGGATCTAGATAAGGTTAAATTTTGAAAGGGAACACTTAGTACAGTCATTTTAGCCAGAAGTGTTTTTTGTTTTTGTTTTTGTTTCTGTTTTTTTAACACCGACCGGTTAACTCCTACGTGACTGGTGAATAGTGTGATGATGTCAGTATAATGAGCAAGTCCTGTTGGTTCGCATTCTGTTTTTCCTAGGTAGTGAAGAGCAGAAATAGAAATAGAATCTTTAGCAGGAAAGAGAAAAGCCCTCAGCTATGCAGGCAAGCTCCCTTGCAAGTTTATTTTAATGACGTTAAAGTTAATAAAACACACGCACTTGCACCCAGCACTTGTTCCCCGAGGGTTCATTCTCAGGGCTACGCTTCCTCTGTGCAGCCTCACTGCTTCAGAGCTTCACTTCCACCTGGATCGTCATAGCACTTACAGTCCATCGGTTTTATTCATTTTAAATATTCCCTGAGGTATCCTCTAGGTCTGAGCCACCTGCCTGGCTGTCCAAGTATTTCCTCAGAACGTTATTGTTTTTTTTTTCTTGGGGATATGTTTACAAAGTTGCATGGGTTTACATGGCTTGCCTCAATCTTATTTTTCCCATAAGTCGTCTTATTTTGAATGCATGCTTGTGCAGAAGGGAGATTTCTTTTAAGAATGAATATATTGTGGTATAGCATAAATCACTGTGCTTCATTTGGGAAACCTGTTTAAATGCAATTAATGTTAAATTCTGTAATCTCAAGTTATTTAATATTTTAAGATCAAAGTACCTGTTCATCCTAAAAAAACAAAAATGCAGAAGTATGAATAATTTTAAAAAGTTTCCTCCAAATTTTCTCTCTTCCTTTTCCAGTCCCACTTTGCATAAGTAATTAACTGATTATTGTGTGACGCACCTAATGTGTGTATACACTTTTTTTTCAGGTGGTAATAGAGAATTTTATCATGAGACTTAGTTTTATTTTAAACAGTATAAATTTACAAATTATCCTTATCGTCTGGTATGAATGTGTCATAACATTTGAAACTATTTTTGTTGATTGCCACTTAGATTATTTCTAATTTTTTACTATTAATAACATTGCATTGAACTTTGTATACATATTGTGAAACTGAGTTAAGTCTTAAGGTAGGATTGATGTATAGAAGTAAGATTGTTGAATCTTGGGTTGTGTTCATTTAAAATTGACAGAGTGATTAATGGCTCTTCAAAAAGGATTTAACAATTTGTACTCCCATCCATAATGTTTAAGACTTATTGATAACTAGAAGTATTTTGCTAAACCAAACATAGACTTAGTGACTATAAATGTTTGTTTCTTTATAATTTGGTCTCCGGGCCTATTTGAGGATTGTTAGATACAAAAACCTACTTTCAGAAGCACCAAATTTAATATTTAAGAAGTTAATTCGTTATTAGCTTTTTGGTGTGAGGTTTATAGATGGCACAGGATGAAAATACTGATTAAAATGTTAACAATGGAGAGACAGTCACAGCTTGGGCATGAACATTTGTGCTTCAGAATTTGCTTTTCTTTGTGTTCTTATCTGCTATTGCTATGATTTTTGTCTGAACTTCTATTGAGATGTAACAGTGTGTAATTATAAATGTGTAGCCTGTTGAATTTTCACAAACTGAACACACACACTCATGTAATCAGGTTCCAGACAAATAGAATAATATAACTAGCCTTTTGAAATCTCTTGTATATCCCCATCCTGTCATTAACTCTCAAGGTAACCTATGTCCTGATTTGTAGTACCATTGACTTGTTTTGCCTGTATTTGAACCATACATAAATGGAATCATATAATGTATTACTTTTCTCAGTTTTATTTATGAGGTTAACCCATGTTTTGCATGAAGTTTTACACCAGTCATTTTCATTGTTGTATAGTATTCCACTGTATGAGCAACTGCAGTTAATATACTCATTCTGTGTTGATAGGACTTTGAACAGTCTCCTCTTTTGGTTATTAGAAGTGTTACTACTATCAGTATTTTTTCAAATGCCCTAAAGCAAACATATGTAGACACTTCTGTTGGTTATATAACTCAGAAATGCTAAGAGGTAGGCACAAATCTTGGTTTAGTAGATACTGCCAGGTTCTTTTCTTTTCCCCTAAAGAGGTGATACCATTTTGCATGGTCACTAACAGTTCAGTTGATCCACATTCTTGACTATAGTTTATTCTTTTTTGTTTTAGCTATTTTGATGGAAGTAGTTTTAATTTTCCTTTCCCTGGTTTCCCTTGTGACTAATGAAGTGAGGTATCTTTTCATATTTACTGACTGTTATGAAGATAACCTCATTTGTCAAGTACCAGTTTAAGAGTTTACCCGTTTTTCTTTTGAGTGTCAGTCTTGTTCTTATTGATTTGTAGGAATTCTTTACATATTAGCAGTCTAAGTCCTTTGATATGTTTCACAGATATTTATTACTACTCTGTGGGGACTTGGTATCTTAATGAAGAAAAGGTCTTAATATTTTCTAATTTATCAAGTATATTACAATATATCAATTATTTCCTTTTTTCTTCAGTGCTTTTTGTGTTTTAAGAAATCTTTGCTTGTTCCTAAGATTTGAAAGTATCCTTTGTATTTTTTCCTAAAACCCTTATTGTTTTACCTCTCACACTTAGACCTGTAATCCATCTGGAATTGGGTTTTTGTATGGTGTGAGGTATAGGGGTCACGATTCATTTATTTTCTCATGTGACTATCTAGTTGACGTAGCACTGCTTATTGCAAAGACCATCCTTTCCCCACCGCACTGCTGTGTCACATGTTTGATAAATCAGGTTGCTGCAGATAGGATGGATGGGTTTGTTTCTGGACCTGTTCTTTTACATTGGTCAGTTTTCTTTTGTTTTTTATCATTGTACCAGCACTGAACACTCTTAATTTATAAAGCTGTGTGATCATTCTTAATATTCAGTAATGTAATTTTCTCAGCTTTGAACCTCAAGATGGCTTGGGCTATCTTTGGTATTTCCCTGTAAGTTTTAGAATTTAAACTTGTTAACTTCTGCAAGAAAACCTACTGGGATTTTACATTGACTTCAAAAAATCAAATTTAGGAGAATTGACATTTTGATGCTGTTGAGTTTTCCAGTTTATAAGCATAGCATATTCCTCCTTTTATTTAGATCTTTAATTTCAGTGAGAACAAAGCTGGGAGACTTAACATTATTATATTTAAAACTTAATATAAATCTGTAGTCATTAGGACAATGTGATATTGATGCAAGTGTATCTAAATTAATCTAGTGGAAAAGATTAGAACAACTAAAGCCAGGATCATCAGAGTTTGTTTGATTTCATATTTTAATTAACAGGTTCTTTAGAGTATAATTTAATACAGTCTTTTGTGTGTTTTTACCAAGCATGCGTTTTACTTTCTCACAGGTGTGGACCATGTTTAAGGATTGCCCCAGCATTCAGTTCTATGAGTAATAAGTATCCACAGGCAGTTTTCTTGGAAGTAGATGTACATCAGTGTCAGGTAAGGGAAAGGAATCCCTTTTTTTTTTTTTTTTAAATGTTTGTTTATTTTGAGAGAGAAAGAGCCCAAGCAGGGGAGGGGTAAAGAGAGAGAGAGAGAGAGAGAGAGAGAGAGAGAGAGAGAGAGAGAATATCCCAAGCAGGCTCCTCTGTCAGCACAGAGCCTAATGGGGAGCTTAAACTTAAGAACTGTGGGATCATGACCTGAGCCGAAATCAAGAGTTGGATGCTTAAACGACTGAGCCACCCAGGCACCCCGGAAAGGAGTCCTTTTTAACAGAAAAAATTACATTGGTTTGAAATTCAACATTGATGTCATCCTTCATTCGTTTATCTCTTTATGCACATAGTACTTACTCTTTTGAAGATAGGGAAATGTTACGTTGACATGAATTATTACAAATGTTATTGTGGCTACATTAGTTAAAAACGGTAGTCCCATATTAATTGCTTCTGGGTTTGTTTATATTAATATCTGTCTGATGTAAAACTAATAAGTTGTTCAACTTAATAGGTCACCTGGCAGTTTTTTGTTTTACATTTTTTGTTTATCTTTCGCAAATCGACATTATCTTCTACTGAGGCATTGGTTGATTAGCAAGCCTTGGCAGAGAATTCTTGCTTATAGTTTGATTTGAATTGATCATTGTGTAATCTTAGCCTCAAAGCTGCATACTCAGCAGGAACTTTAGAGTGTTGATTACTGTTGATTGAGACACAGTGTTGTGGGGATTCCGATTACTTAGTTGGAATGGCCATGTGACAGTTTTACATTTGCATATATGAGAATATGGAGGAGGAGTTAAGGAAAAATGTTTTGAAGGTTGTTTCCAACACTAAAAATGTAGTTCTAACTAAGGAATAACTGTGTAGCTGCTCTTTTTGGTGAGGTTGTGTCTTTGATACATTTCTGAGTGAAAAAAATTTTTTAATGTTACCTAGTTTGTAGTTAGTATTTGAGGTTTGGTATAAACCCTGTGTTATTGCTTTGTACTTCTGTTGCATACTAGTGGACTGTAGCACTGGGCTGTACTAGTCTCTGTCTCTAATCTAGAAGTGTTCTCTGGAGCTGCTTGTGCAGTATGATAGCCACTAGCTGCATGTGGTTATTGCACACTTGAAACGTGGCCAGTCCCAGTTGAGAAGTGCTATAGATATACACATAGGATTTTGAAGGCTTAGTATGAAAAAGATGTAAAATACATCATTAACTTTTTATAGTGACCATGTTGAAAATGCAGATAGTGATTCACTAAAATATGCTATTAAAATTATTTCAGTTGTTTTTCTGTTGTGGATATTGGAACCTTAAAATTACATATATAGCCTATATTTGTGTCTTATTTTGAACAACACTGTTTTAAAAGGTCAGTCAGGTTTTTGTGTTTAATTTTTGAGGTTTACAGAAGACATCTCTATGTAAACTTTTAAGCAACATAGTGGTACCTCTTCATAGTATTTCAACGTTTATTTATTTTTGGGACAGAGAGAGACAGAGCATGAACGGGGGAGGGGCAGAGAGAGAGGGAGACACAGAATCGGAAACAGGCTCCAGGCTCTGAGCCATCAGCCCAGAGCCTGACGCGGGGCTCGAACTCACGGACCGCGAGATCGTGACCTGGCTGAAGTCGGACGCCCAACCGACTGCGCCACCCAGGCGCCCCACATAGTATTTGAATACGCAAGATGACATGTTTGCTTTCCTATTTCCTTTGTACTTCTTATGAAAAGTTTAGACTATGGGTCCATCATTAATTAGCTGATACCTATTTGCTTGCTACTTAGTTTTATAATATTGTGGAGTTGGAGCAGAATTTTAAAAGGTAGATGTTGCAGTGAGGGAGGCCAGAAGTCATTTCTATGAGTAGAGTTGGGTGAGGCTGTTACTTCATATTCATGGAGAGATGGGCTGCTGTTTTTCAGATCTGTACTTTTTCCTAGTAGCCCTGCTTTGTGTTGACTGATCAATACCCTCTTTGGTTTCGCCACTTAAGAAATAGCATGTACTTATGAGAGAGCTAGCTAGTGTTGTAAAGCATAATTTCTGTATTGGAAGCTATTCTGCTGGTTGGGTGAAGTCTTTAATACTAAAACTGATTTAAAATGGAGGTTCTTCATTGGGAATGTAAGGGTCATGTAGTTGTGCCCTCAGTAACAGGCCTGCTTTTTCTTAAATAACAATTGGGAATACGTTATTTTACGTGATTTTTGCTTATACTTGTGATATTTAACTTCTATAGAGATGTAGAATGAATATTCTAAGTGGTTTAAAAATGATTAATTTTAATTCATTAACGTCATCTAACTTGCCAATTCTAGGGAACAGCTGCCACCAACAATATATCAGCAACACCTACATTTCTGTTTTTTCGAAACAAAGTGAGAATTGATCAGTATCAAGGAGCAGATGCTGTTGGATTAGAAGAAAAAATCAAGCAGCACTTAGAAAATGACCCTGGAAGCAATGAGGACACAGATATTCCAAAAGGCTATGTAGGTAGACTTAAAAGTGAAATCATGATGTATTTTTGTCTCCGTTTGCTTAAAGTGAAGTTGACTGTTATCTTTTGCTGGTTAAGAATACTTTCAGATAAGAACTTTAAAAGTAGCTTCGTTAGCTGACTGTTGGGTTTTTGTCTCTGTTGTATATATTATCACCTTAAGCCCTCATCAAAAACAAGTTTTCCTAAATTTGCTCTGCTAATCTTTTTTGCTACTTGTTTTTTTTTAATCTGTTTTCTGAATTGTCTTAATAGCCAGTTTTAAACATTCACTCATTTTTAATGTATATTTATATACATACATTTAATTTCGATTTTATTATTGTATATAATGTATATGTTTTATTTATGTGTACTTTTAAAATTACATATTTATATATTTCCCCCTCCCCAAAATGTGAAGAAATGTGCATTGGAAAAATTTTCCATTTTTCAACAATTGTGTAAAATGACATGTAAATTTTAATGTGTGACCATTTTATGCTGAACTCCCTTTCCTAAAATTCCCTATAGTTTTCTCCGTCTTTTTAAATGTATCCCCTCTTTTCTGGCACCTCTTTTTTCTGTTTGAAAAATCTAGTTATTTTAGGATCATGTGTGATTTTACCATTAGGTATGTTTTTCTGAGTTTTAAGAATTATTATTCAAATAATAACTTGAAGACTTAGGAACACAAAAGTGTTTGAAAATTATACATAATAAAATTTTATAATTCAGTATCTATCATTTGAGAGCTATTCAGGAAGGAACCAAACAAAATTCAGAAATTCACTTTGTAGTAGCTGACTTGTTAATGCAACTTGGTTAATCCTGCATACCAAAATATATATTTGTATGTATCTTTCCTAATTTTTCTTTTTTAAAGTTAATGGTATTGGCAGATCAAAAATGAACTTTAAAAAAAAAAATTGTTACCTCAAGTTAAAGCTAATATATGAAAGAATGTGTATCACGGACGACAAGTCCTTTCTGTAAGTCTCTTAAATTTATACTGAATAAGGAGACTCTGTAGTTAGATAAATACAAGAGATTTTTTCTTTGAGTGTCGGGGTGGGGGTTGTATCTTCAAAAAGTGTCTTTAACGTGTGGTACTGGCATTAATTACTTGAAGTTAGGGAGGCGCAATTAGTATCTGTTTAAAACAGAACTGTTATGTAATCATTTGAAATTGCGATACCCAGTTGGAAAGTATGAACATGTTGTGTAAGTCAGGGTTGTGACACCTTTTGGAAAATTTTGGAAATTAATTTGACCCGTAAACTGATTTGTTTACATCTTTGTATTTTTTTCCCCGTTATTTGTGAAGGGTTTTTGCATGAAAAAGTCTTAATGAGAGCAGGACAGTCCTGCTGCTTAGCTAGAGGGCTACTTATTTACACATCAGCTAAGCGTGATATCAGTGTTTTGGCCTCAGGTAGGAATTAAGCAGGAAAAACTTAAGTTTTAAGAAATTAAAAAAAAATTCCGTTTTCATGCACATGTTATGAATGCACTGTGAAAAGCTATTAAAAACATTTTCATGGGGCGCCTGGGTGGCGCAGTCGGTTGAGCATCCGACTTCAGCCAGGTCACCATCTCGCGGTCCGTGAGTTCGAGCCCCGCGTCAGGCTCTGGGCTGATGGCTCGGAGCCTGGAGCCTGTTTCCGATTCTGTGTCTCCCTCTCTCTCTGCCCCTCCCCCGTTCCTGCTCCGTCCCTCTCTGTCCCAAAAATAAATAAACGTTGAAAAAAAAAATTAAAAAAAAAAAAACATTTTCATTTTTTCCATCTGGTGTCAATCAAGACATTAAAAGTTTTGAACTATTATGTCTACAAAGTTATTATGTAAGATCGGTAATGTGTTTCTAAGAATGTCATCATTCTCACAGCACAAATAGCCACTTAACAGGAGGAAGAATCAGTGAATGAAAGCCTGTGTCTTAAGTAGATTTAAGTATAAGCATTGCAAAAATGTATTGCCCGTTTTTTTAAGCTAAAAAAGGTTTTAATTGGATTTTTAAAATAATTTTTAAAAATTTATATCTCAGCATATAGTTGTGTTGCCAGTTTTTAAATAAAATTTTGGTTTTAAAGACTTTCAGTTATCTTTTCACACAAAGAGACTATATAGTTACTGATTTTATACATCCTAGTTTTGGAACTCCAAATTTGATTGAAGCCAGAGTATGAGAGGTACGTGTATCTCTTTTAGAGGAGTTTGAAATACTGCAATAGATGTAGGTTAAGAATGGTAATAGTTCTTATTCAGAAATAAGACCGTGTTTTTGTAAATATAATGACTTCTAGTTTATAAAATGTTTATTGAAGCATTGGGATATTTAATTTTAAATTAGGAAAATTTAAATCATTCTTTTTTTCTTTCATATTCGTTAAGAATACCTAGTATTGCTTCATAGCCACAGGGCTATCAATAAGTCTTCCTCTCCACAAGCTTGAATTCTAGGCACTCCGGGATTGAACTTGGATTTGCATAATGTTCTGAATCTTGAGGCTTATTAGTGTATTTCAGTATTCTGACCACTGAACTATAGATTTCAGTGTACAAATTTTGTCATCATTCAACAAAATGAAATGAAACCTTAAATGACCCTCATCTGTGTAGTAAGATAGATCTTTCTTTAACCAAAATTGGAAGCATGGAAAGGGTTTTCTAACTTTCTGTGTATCTTGTGTTAGATTTTCTCCCCTGTAAAAAAACAAAACAAAAAAACATAAAAAATGTTCTACTATTGACGGAATAGTATAACAAACATATATACCATTCACCTATGTTCATCAGTTGTGAATATTTTGCTACTTTTGCTTTCTTGGTGGTGGCAGGCTGGGGGGGTAGAGGGAGGAGAAGTAGAGAGAGAATCTCAAGTAGGCTCCACGCTGTCAGCGCAGGGCCCAGTGTAGCGCTTGATCCCACGAACCGTGAGATCATGACCTGAGCTGAAATCAAGAGTCCCATGCTTAACCAACTGAGCTACCCAAGCGCCCCTAGTTTTGCTTTCTTGATAGGTGTTTATATACTTTTATCTCTTGGCAGAGTCATTTAAAAAGTAAGGTATAGACATCATGATGGTTCATCTCTAAATATTTGAGCAGGTAGCTCCTAAGAACGAGAACATTCTTTTACATAACCATGATACTATTAGCACTCCTAAGAAATTTAGCAGTGGTTTACAGTATCTCTAGTATTTACAGCCTACGTTCACATTTTTAAAATTATCTCCAAAATATCCTTTATAACTGTTTTCCCCCATCTAGGATCAAGTCAAGGATCATACATTGCAGTTAAGTTGTTTTTCTTTGGTGTTCTAGAAACTTCCGTCTGCTCTTTTTTCCTTTCATGACTACCTTTTTTGAAAGTTTAAACCAGCACCAGTCTAATCTAGTAGCCACTAGATGCATGTGGCTATTATGCATTTGTTATGTGACTAGTGCAACTGAAGGACTGAATTTTGAGTTTTATCTGCTTTTAATTAATTTAATTTTAAATTATCACATGTGGCTAATGGCTATCTTCTTGTACACCGTAGATTGAGACCATCTGTCTTATAGACTGTCCCACAATCTGGATTTGTCTGATTGTTTTCTCATTATTCTTTCCTCATTGGCAAGTTGATTACATAGGTAGTGATATTTATTTCCAATTGCGTATTTCTGGAATGTGTCAATTTGCAGTTAAGTCAGATATAATGCCAATTTGTCCTAGACAGTGTTGTGTAGCAAAGCACTTTAATGCAACTGTTTGAGTGTGATAACTTGTTTTGTGTGCCCCACGATAAATAAATACAAAAACAACTTCAGGTAAATCACCTATTTATTTTTCATCATTAAGATATTGCAAGCATGATTTCAGTGTTGTCTTCATGCCTGGGATCATAGTCCTAGATACAGCATTGAAGAGGCATCTTGGTAGGATGGAAGACATAAGTGTTTAAAGATTTTGTTAGAACTGTCCTTTCAAGGGAAATGTTCTTAAAGTTCAAAGTGATTCTGTAATAGTAGAACTTTGCTTTATAGTGCCAGCACACCAACCCCCACTGTTTTTAAGTTGGCTATGGTATGATACCCTGAATAATATGTTCAACATCTAATGCAATATAACATTTAATATAATTCAAAATAGCATTTTGGCTTTAAAAGCATTTAGGCCCCTCCATGAATAATTAAGGATCTATTCTAATAATTATTGATAATTATGTTGCTAATTATTTGACATGTAAAAGAGTTTTCTTTAGAATGATACATACATGTATTAGTATCCTCTGTATACAAAATATAATACTCTTTATGATAGAAAGGTGAATATGCAATTAACTGATAATCTAAAATACTTGGTAAACTTAAAACTAGTCCTTGTTTAGTAGATTAAATGGATGTTTTCCTAGAAAAATACTTTATCAAAATCAACTCCACTAGAAGCAGAACTCCTAAATAGACCAGTCACCATAGAGGAAGTAGAGAAAATAGTCAAAGACCTGTACCATAAAGGGCAAGATGACTTCACAGGGATATTCTACCAGATCTTAAGATCAGATAGTCTAGTGTTATTCCAAACTACTTAAGACCATATAAAAAGAGAGAAAACTTTGAAAATTTCTTTTTAAAGTAAATATGACCTTGATCCCAGAATCTGACAAAATGTGCATCAAAACAAAACAAAAACAAAAAAACCACTGACCAGTTCCAATTAGGACCAATTGTAAAACTCTTAAAATATTAGTAAAAAAAAATTCAGCAATCTAAAGGAGAAAAGTTATAATCTCCTAATACGGAGAAAAGGCATTTGACAGAATTCAGTACCCATTTATTTTTAAAACCATCCGTAAAATCTAAATGAGAGAGCATTAGAGGCACTCCTGCTAAAGTCAGAGACCATGCAAGGATGCCCACAGTCACTGCTCTGGCCGTGTGTTGGAAGTATTAACCAACACGTACACAGGAGACAGAAAGATGTTAAATACCACAGGGAAGCGATCGGCAAAATCCAAAATATTAGAAATCCGTAGGCACTAGATGACCATAGATTAAAGGAGTTGGGAGACATTAACCAAATATGGCATACTTTATTTGGAGTCCTGTTTTGAGTCTAACAGTTCAACTGTAAAACATTTATAAGACCAAGAAATTTGGACACAGATATTTGCTGATAACTAAAGTATTACTCATTGTTTTAGTTGTGATAATAATATTGAGAAATTTTTTTAAAGAGCCCTTATCTCTCAGAAATGCTCATGAACACACTGAAATGTTCATGAATGAAAGAAGAAATGTCTAAGATGTATTTGAAAACAGGAGGGTAGGGACTGCTTGCCAGGGGAAAGGTGAAACAGGAGTGGCCATGAGCTGATTATTGTAGCTGGGATTATTAAAGACTGACTACCTGAGGTTCACTGTAGTATTCTATTTATACATGTTTGAAATTTTCCATAATAAAAAACGTTTTAATCCTTATTTGTTATTCATCTCAAATGTAAACTCTTTATGGATGTAGGTTTAAAGAGCACATGACCACTAGAGGAAGGAGGTAGGCTCCCTTTGGATCTTAACAGATATTTTAATTTGTATATTTTCCACTGCAAAATACTGTTAGCAAAAAATGTCAACATTTTATAATCTTCGTGTTAAAGACTTGGTTTTTGATACTTTGTCAAGTGGACAAAGCCTAGATTTGGCTTTCATAGTGATAGGTCTCAGTCAAAAATTCAAATGAAAGCCTTATTATAAAAGTTTTAGTAGCTATCTTAAAAGAGAAGTTTTTTTAAAGTTGTCTAACCTAGAGAAAATCATGTATTTACGTTTCTGATGAAGATTGTTAAACCAAATCGAAATCCTTTGCCTAAAGTCTTGATTTAATTTTTTCAGATGGATTTAATGCCTTTTATTAACAAAGCTGGCTGTGAATGTCTTAATGAAAGTGATGAGCATGGATTTGACAACTGTTTACGTAAAGATATGACCTTCTTGGAATCTGATTGTGATGAACAGGTAATTGACACTTCCCAGTTAAAGCTTATAGGGATCATCAGTGTTTATGCCTGCTCTGGGTTCTTTATCATGTTTCCATCTCATGGTTTTATGTTTCTCCTTCCCAGATGACCACTCCCTTTCCTTTTTTTAAGTTTCAGTTTCTTTGGCGATATAGACCCACCTCCTTACTCTGTTCTGTATAAGCTGCCAAGGTCATTATACAGAATCTTAGAATTCTTGGATTGGCCTGACTGCTGAGTTGAGTTGAGCTGAGCTTTGACTATTCTTAAATCCTTTTGTTCATTCTAGACCTGTCTTCCCTATTTTTTTTTTTTTAATTTATTTATTTTTGAGACAGAGCATGAATGGGGGAGGGTCAGAGAAAGAGGGAGACACAGAATCTGAAACAGGCTCCAGGCTCTGAGCTGTCAGCACAGAGCCCGACGCGGGGCTCGAACTCACGGACCGCGAGATCATGACCTGAGCCGAAGTTGGACACCCAACCGACTGAGCCACCCAGGCGCCTCCTGTCTTCCCTATTTTTTACCCACCCAGATGAGTCTGTATCTGAGAAATAGAGAATAATTAGATGAGTACTCCCTATATGTGCGGTCCTCATTCCCAGCTGTAAACCTGTATCGTACTTCCCTATACTTCCCTGCATTGTCATCACAGAGGAAGTAGTGTAGTCCTGCCTTGATCAAGCCATCATTACCTTCATCTTGACTGTTATTTTCCTTAATTTTCTTTCCTTTTTTAATGTTCATTTGTTTTGAGAAAGCACTCATGCACGAGTAGGGGAGGGGCAGAGAGAGAGAGAGAAAGGGAGAGAAAGGAGGGAGAATCCCAAGCGGGCTCCATGCTGTCAGTGCAGAGCCCGACACGGGGCTCGATCCCATGAACCGTGAAATCATGACTTCAGCCAAAATCAAGAATCAGACGCTTAACTGGCTGACTCACGCAGGCACTCCCTTAATTTACTTTCTAATCTGTTGTCTCTGCTTTGTCCCCCATTCCAGTTCATCTTCTACATGGTCACAAAAGTTCTTCTTCTTTTTTTTTAAAGTAGGCTTCACATCCAGTGTTGAGCCCAACGCAGGGCTTGAACTCACAACCCTGAGATTAATACCTGAGCTGAAAAATCAAGAGTCAGACTCTTGGGGCACGTGGGTGGCTCAGTCAGTTCAGTGACTTCGGCCCAAGTCCTGATCCCGTGCTTTGTGGGTTTGAGTCAAGCTTCGGGCTCTGTGCTGACAGCTCAGAGCCTGGAGCCTGCTTCAGATTCTGTGTCTCCCCCTCTCTGTGCCCCTCCCCCACTCTGTCTCTCTGTCTCCCAAAAATAAATAAACATAAAAAAAAAATTATTAGAGTCAGACTCTTAACTGGCTGAGCCATGCAGGAATCCCCAAAAGTTATTCTTCTAAAATAGAAATCTGATCATGCCACTCTTTCTCAAAAGATTTACATGATTCTTCACAGTTTTCAGGAAGAGATTCAAGATTCTTGATCTGTTTCTAGCTTTCCATTCTCATCTCCTCCTCACCTGTGGTTCAAGTCTCTAAATATGTCATGTTTATTATTTTTTGACACACTATTACAGGTCAAGTATAAGAAGTATTTATATAACCAGAGGAAATGGTCTGGGTGTTTTCTTAGGCACACAGACCACAATGATCCTGAAATCATAAATCCAAATTCAATCTTGCCTCCCACTACAGCTGCCTTACTGAACAGCTTTAAGAATATTGTTCACTATTGTGTTCCTTGTAAATGGTGCCCTGAATATAATGTGATGATGCATGTCAGCAGAACTGACCACAGCTTCCCTGAAATCTTCCTGCCAGGAAAATCTTCTTCCTAGGGTAGAAGCAGAGATACGTACATCATACACAATTTTAGCTGGAAGGAAGACTGAGCAAATGACTCATGGTTTCTTAGAGATCGGCATCCTGACAATGTTTCCTATCCCAGTTCCCTTATGTGGCCTTCTAGATTCAGTTAGCCAGATTAAGTTTAGGATAGAGGTTTAGAGGTTACCATAGAGCTATTAAAAGTCTTATTCTTCTGAGTTTTGGATCATGTACAGTGCATTTGAGAGCTAGTTTCTTCACATAATCTGTGCAGTGTCTTCATATTATCAGATGATGTGGGTACATGCTTGAAAAACCATCCTACAAAATGTTCAGCTTACATTCTAAAATATATAGTTTAATTTTATTTTACTTTGGGGATTTTGTTTAATTTTTTGGAAGGCAAAATGCTTGCCAGTTTACAGGTTACAAGACCTTAGGATCTTAGGCATTACCCACCCCCTCCTTTTTTATAGGCTCTACACCCAAGGTGGGGCTCGAACTCACAACCTGTAAATCAAGAATCACATGATCTGCTGAGCCAGCAAGGATCTCGCATGTTTTTAGTTTAGTTTATTCCTTTAAATTTTGTCATCATTCCCTTATGTGAATAATAGATAATTGTATTTCTCTTTTTTTTTTTTTAATTTTTTTTTTTTTCAACATTTATTTATTTTTGGGACAGAGAGACACAGAGCATGAACTGGGGAGGGGCAGAGAGAGAGGGAGACACAGAATCGGAAGCAGGCTCCGGGCTCTGGGCCATCAGCCCAGAGCCTGACGCGGGGCTCGAACTCACGGACCGCGAGATCGTGACCTGGCTGAAGTCGGACGCTTAACCGACTGCGCCACCCAGGCGCCCCGATTATTGTATTTCTCAAATGTCAGTCTAATTAAATTACTTTCAATTTACTGATTTTTTAATATTACATTGGTTTTGTGAAATGAGTTAAATATTTTCTGCCTTTGAATTAATCATTTTAACTCTGCTTAGCTGTTGTGTATATTCAAGGTGTTCAAGAGCCCTTTTAAAATAAAACTTATTTTCTTCACAGCTTCTCATTACTGTGGCATTTAATCAACCTGTTAAGCTTTATTCAATGAAATTTCAAGGGCCAGATAATGGTGAGTAGTGGGTAGCCCTTTAACTTTCTGCTCTGTGGATCTGTTAGCGCATTTTTAAAACTAATGAAATAATAGAGGTAGATATTCCTTGTGTTGGGAAAGAGTGAAATTGTTTCTGGAACAAAGCAAGGGGACAAATGAATGTGCAAATAAGGTAAGATTATTAGGAACTGATGAAATGACAAATTTTACCTTATTTCTAAAATTTTTTATTTTAGAATTTAAGTTCCCCTCCTAATCTGAAAACAAAGGAACTCTTCCAATTCTTGCTCTGAAACTCCAGTTTTGAAGTAGCCATTTTTCGGGATCACAACTGGGAGAAATTTATTTCACATTCCTCCTATTACAGATGATAAAACTAAGGTTCTGTATCTTCCTGTTTGTGACCTATTAGTAGTTTCATCTTCTTTATATATTATGATACTGTAAACATGATTGTACAGACTTGGCATTTCTCTTTTTATTAAATGAAGAATTTTCCTTATTTATACTCCCTCTTTTTCCTGTTCTTAATTGATTTTTTTGGGAGGGGAGTCTTGGGGACTAGGACTTTTTTTCTGTTTTCTTTTTAATTGGGAGAAACAGTAGGCACCCTGTTTATCAGATAGCATTCCCTTCTCATTTGTTATTTTAAATTATTATGTATTAGTATTTTTCATTAATAAAATTATATCTTCTGGAAATACTCAGTATTTGTGAAAGCAGTTGCTATAGAGATGAGTAAGCAATGTGAATATGTTAAGATTCCTTAACTAGCCACGAAGTAATGAGTTTTGGATTATACCCTGAGGTTAAAGGGACTAAGACATCCTATTTAAATGTGATCTAACCACTCAGCACATCTTAATCCCTAAGATGAAATTTGGCAATTTGTAGAATTAATTTCCTTTTAGCTAAATGTTGTCACTGGTAATGCTCTTCTCCTAAATAACAAATGTACCAATTGTTGGCAACTGCAAGACCCAGCTCAAATGTTAATTCCTTTTATGAAACTTTTTGTTAACCTGCGTGCATTGTCAGACTCTTACCACCTTCCCTGCGTCTCCTCATTAGTAGTGTTGCATTATTACAGAGTGTCTTTTATAGTTGAGGTCAAGAAGTCTGTGAATGTTTATGTGTATGCATATGTGCATGTGTGTTTTAATCTAATATTCTCAGTTCTTAGTATAAGGCTAGCAGGCCAAGAATACACTAGTAAATGTCTATTAAAAAAAAAAAAGAATGTCTGTGAAAATACTCAGAATTTCTTAAAATTCCTGAAGATGCATGTAGGTATGTGCTTATATTTGAATGTGTATCTGGTTGTATAGACTGAACGTAATGGTGAAACGAAGAAAGTATTGCAAGTTTGGTTTTACATTTAATTTTATTCTACCATTTTATAGGTCAGGGTCCTAAATATGTAAAAATTTTTATCAATCTACCCCGATCTATGGATTTTGAAGAAGCAGAAAGAAGTGAACCAACTCAAGCTCTGGAACTAACAGAGGATGATATTAAAGAAGATGGTATTGTCCCACTTCGTTACGTTAAATTTCAGAATGTTAACAGTGTAACTGTAAGTAGTATTTTAACTATATTTAATGGGTGTTTGGGTGACCGTTCATGCTATCTTCACTATCCTGGGTGATTCTAAATGATCCTTTAAGGTAGTTTTTTGTCCTCTTGATTTGAAATGAGTGAAAAAATTTGAAATGAGTAATATAATGAGCTAATTAAATTTTCTTTTAATTTATCTGTGTGTTCTGAAAAGGAAGGACAGGTTGATTTTTTTTTTTTTTTTAATTTGTGAATATGTCAGTTACTTTGTCTATTTGGCAGTTCTTGTTAAAAGTTTGTTATAGACCATTTAGACTTAAACTGAAGATATTTGTACATAATCTTTCATACCTGGTAATGAGTGATGATTCAGTTGTAAAATCCAATTTACTTTTCTAGAACATACAGTTTTTAATAGTGTAGTGGTCATGATCTCAATACAGATGATTTTTTAAAAAGATATTTTTACATTACCTTAATTTACATTAAGTCAACTGCTTCTTAGCAGTTATTAATTGCTTTTGTGAATTATTGTAACGAAACCCAGCATATGTTCTCCCACCCACCTCCTTCTCCCTCCCAGCCCAGTCTTTCAGAGCAGGGAGTAGGAGGGTTAAAGGAGAATAGTGGAATGAATACCTATAAAAACAGCGGGAACCAGCACAGAGTCACTGAGAGCAAGTTGGGCCAAATTAATGTAATTTTCTTGATTTAATGAAATGATTCTGGTTTTTGTAAATTAGAAGAATGCTATAATGTGTTCATTTTAGGAGGTTTTCACTAGAGTTTCACAGAATGTTCTTAGTAGGAAGATGAAGGAAGGATTATCATTGAGATTTCAATATTTGGAATATTTTATCCAAATGAAATCGAAGAAAATGATTATATTAAACTAGAATATTGGTTATCAGATATTTTTCTGACCTACATTTGTACCATTAATACAATACGTGTTGCTTTATTTAGTGATAGAAGGGAGGCATTTGTTTATTGGAAAAGCCCTTTCAACCCAAACATCCTGACCTAATCTCTGTCATTGAGAATCGCTATACATAGTTATCTTGTGATAGGCTCAAGTCTTTATGTACTGTGTCCTATCTCAATCAGACATGCTTATCAGTTTTTTGGTGAGGAAATTGAAATCAAAATGACAGTTTTGATTGGAAAGGCTAAAGTAAGATGAATTTTAAAAGCAGTGAATATGAACTGTTGTGCCTTATAAGATTCAAAGAGCATTACAAGTAAATGGAAAGCTGGTTTAATAGTTTACCTATTATAGTCTTGGAATTTTTTTTTTAAACATTTATTTGTTTTTGAGAGAGAACACAAGTGGGGGAAGGGCAGAGAGAGGGCGACAGAGGACTTGAAGCAGGCTCTGCACAGACAGCACAGAGCCCGATGTGGGGCTCAAACTCATTAAGTTGAGCTCATGACCTGAGTCAAAGTCAGATGCTCAACCAACTGAGCCACCCAGGCTCCCCTATAGTCTTGGAATTTTTAATTGATAAGCTTGGTTTGAGATGAATCTCTGCTTGCCTATAAATACCAAAAACTGATTAATTCCATCAGAGAATGAAAGAAATATGTTGTCTAAATCAAGAGAGGCAAAATTCTTTTCCTTTTTTTAATGTTTTATTTATTTATTTTAGAGAGAGAACCCACACCTGTGTGTGAGCAGGGGAAGGGCAGAAAGGGGGGTGGGGAGAGAATCCTAAGCAGGCTCTGTGCTGTTAGCACAGAGACCGACACGGGGCTCAGTCTCCATGAACTGTGAGGTCATGATGAGCCGAAATCAAGAGTCGGATGCTAAATTGACTGAGCCACCTAGGTGCACTTAGAGAGGCAATATTCTTAAGTAGACAGCATCTAGAGTAACGTGTTTTTTAAAAAAAATACTACTTGGCAATGAGAAAGAATGAAATCTTCATTTGCAACAACGTGGATGGAACTGGAGGGTATTATGCTAAGTGAAACACGTCAGAGAAAGTTATCATGTTTTCACTCATGTGGAATTTGAGAAACTTAACAGAAGACCATGGGGAAAGGAAGGGGAGAAAATAATTTCAAACAGAGGGAGGCAAACCATAAAAAACTCTTAAATATGGAGAACAGACTGAGGATTGATGGGGGTGGTGAGGAGAGAGGGGAAAATGAGTGGCAGTGATGGGCATTGAGGGAGGGCACTTATTGGGATGAGCACTGGTGTTGTATGTAAGCAGTGAATCATGGGAATCTATTCTTGAAGCGAAGAGCACACTGTGTACACTGTATGTTAGATAACTTGACAATAAGTTATATTTAGAAAAAAAAGAAAAAATAAACTCCAGCTTAGCCATTCAAACACACACACACACGCAAAGAAAATCCAATATATTGAAAAAGTTGAAAAAGGATCTGTGAGTAAAGCTGCTGTCTAGTATCATGCTGAAGGGAGTTTTTAAATAGAAAGTATAAAGAGTCGGGGTGCCTGGTGGCTCCGTTGGCTAAGCAGCCAACTCTGGATTTTGGCCCATGTCATCATGATCTCACGATTCATGAGCTTGAGCCCCGTGTCGGGCTCTGTGCTGACCGCATGGAGCCTGCTTGGGATTTCCCTCTCTCTCTGCCCCTCCCTCACGCGTGCGCGCGCTCTCTCTCTCTCTCTCTCTCTCTCAAATAAATTAATTAAAAAATGTAAAGAGTCAAGCTTAATAAAATATGCAGGCTATAATATAGTGTAATTTTAGGAGCAGATTTCCAATATTTTTTCTTTTAATATTTTAGGAAATAGAATGAATGGATGAGTATCAGAAAATAGCTGCAGAGACTTTCCTCAGTCAGAAACTAATTTTCATAAAATTTCAACAGCAGTCTGTCCTCTGTAATGAATTTCATACTCTTTCACCATCCTCTCTAAAGAGTTTAAGTGTGACTCCTCTACACCATGACACTAACTTATCAGGAACTTCTATATGTAGGTGTCTTGCTGTGACATCCTGGAGAAGGTGAGGCTAGCAGGGCAAACAGTGGAATTCATAGTCCCATAGGAGTAGTAGTTTAAGTGTAGTTTGGATTAGTACTTCTAAGAGTCGGAGGTATTTTTATTAATAATCTAACAAAACCAGTTAAATTTAAAGCATGTATATGAAAAAAGGATTACAATCATTAATATAAAAAATCTTTTTTTTTTTTTTGGTTGGGGGTAGATATTTGTTCAGTCCAATCAAGGTGAAGAGGAAACAACAAGAATTTCATATTTTACTTTTATTGGTACACCAGTCCAGGCAACAAATATGAATGACTTCAAACGAGTAAGTTTATTTAATTGGTATTTAGGGAAAGTAAAAATATCATTTTAAAGAAATAATTTCATTAAGATCAAAATCATACCATGTCATGATATTTGGGGTTAAACTAGAGCAGTAGGTTCTTCTAATCACATTTTTGATATCTAACTAAAGGATATTTCTAATAAAATTAAGTCCTACTGATACAGTATGTATTAGTAAATGGTATCCAAATAAGAGGGTGAAAATATTTCCTGAACATAGCATAATGTATAGAACTGTTGAATCTAATATAACATTGTGTATCAGCCATACTTCATATTAAGATCCCTAACTATAATGAAGTAAAGGTAAATAAAAGGAAATTAATTTAAACCTAAACCAAAGTAAATAAATGTTTGGTTATAGAAAGTAATTAGGAATAATGTCAAAATAGGAGTAAGTTAAAATCATTATTATAAGTGAATTTTTAAGAATTTTGCTGATATTAAGATTTTGATTATATAGTTTCTGATGAAAACATTTAAAATCACGTGAATAATTTTAATCAAAAAGTTTTACGACACTGGGATGCTTTTAAACCTGTGTGCTGAAGACCACGTTGCATAAGCAAATAAATTTTCAGTGAACAGGCAGATTGTATATGTATGTATGTGTGTATGTTTTTGTTTTATTTTGTGAACGCAGTCCTAAGGTTTGCAAAGAATTTGTAACATGTATGGGACTCTTAGGAATGAGAACATTTTGTACATTCGTGGAACTGCTGCTACTTGCTTCCTTAGGGTGACTCCTAAGATCTTACAACCACAGATCAGGGCAGTGCCACCGAGAGCTTGATCAGAACAGAACCCAGTAGCAGTACACAGATTAAGTGCAGCAGCACAGGAGATGGAGGTATCACTGTGTTTCCGATGGATCCTTGGCAGCCGTCTAGAACGGGAAGTGAGTGTAAGGAGGTCATTATATGACAGGAGGTTTCCCCAGGGCTGCCAGTGCCTGGAGGAAGAGGTATTCTGCTGAACGATTTCGACTCCTGTTTGGGGACTTGAAGCCATGGGGCACCCTGAAAACTCTTATTCTTTTTGATGGGATCTACAGATCTAATTTTAATTCAGTTACAGAAAAATTCATGAAACTGCATAATTGTGGATAAGCTTATAAAATTGTATGCTGTTTTTACAAAATTGATAACCTTGACCATAGATCTTTTAACTGGTCATTTTCGACTACTATATCTTCCTGTCTCCTAACATAATTAACTTTTGGGAGCTGTAGGACAATTCTGTACTTAGACCTGTCATGTCAGATGTTTGACATATGTGTAATGACAGGTCAGAAGAAGCAGAGATTAAACATCTACATTTTTATGATATGAGATATGCTGTACTGGGAAAATGTGTGAGCACCAAAGACATTTTGGCTGCCTGCTTTGTTACTTTGCCTGTTTGGATTAAATGCCATTGGATTTGGCTTTAACTGCCTTGCATAGTTTGTTTTTAGCTTAATTCCTTCGTAAGATCTACTCTAAGCCATATTATTTCCTCATACCATTAATTCAGTTCAGGTTCCCTGCTTTTCACCTCAGCTCATGCTATTTGATTTCTATTTTTTTCTGTAAGTAACCACTGCTCCATCTTGACCATCTTCTTACCAGCCTGCCCTTCAGTCAAGTTTTCTAATGTGCATTAATAGTTGTCCATCTAAGAATCTGTCTCCACTTGTTTGGTTTTAACATCCTCCCTTTCCTAATATCCTCCCTCTCCTATGCCGTCTAGCCTGGTTCCTCTCTCTCTCTCTCTTTTGACTTACCAGACTACATGTTTTGGACTGTCTTTAGGATAGCAAAGGTGTTAGATTTTTCTTGCTTGAGAGTATTTGTGTTTGTTACGTAATTTGGCTACGTATTCATTTAGCTAAATACCTTATAGCGTTATTTAACGTTACTGTAGAGCAGTAGTTCTCAAACTTTTTGGTGTCAGGACCCTTTTACACTATTAAGTATTATTGAGGACCAGAAAGAGCTTTTGTTAATGTAGGCTATATCTATCTAATATTTACCCTTTAAGAAACTGAAACTGAGAAATTTAAAAATTATTTATTTACAAATAATAAACTCATTATGTGTTAACACATACAATATTTTTAAGTTACATATTTTCCAAAATAAAAACCAATTTAGCAAGAAGAGCATTGTTTTCTGCTTTACAAATTTTTTTATCATCTGGCTTCATAGACCCCTCTCATTCTCTTATTTCTCCATTTAGTCAGGTTTGCCATGACAGATCATGTAGCCTCTGGAAAACTCCATTGTACACTTGTAACACAATGAGAGTTAAGAAGGCAAATAACAATTCAGCATTATTTTGAAAATAGTTTTGACTTTGAACACTCCCTGAAAGGGTCTCGGGGACCATCAGCCTAGATTGCACTGAGAACTGCTTCGAGAATAATGTAATACTGTCATGGACTCCTTGCTTGGTGTTTGACCCTTGCTTTTAATGTTTGATACATTTGAATTGGTTGAACGATTTTCTTATTTGTGTATGTTAATATTACATTACATTTCCTTTTAATAGTTTCTGAATGAGACTTGTGTCATTCATTGAATTGTTCCTCAAAAGTAAGCTAATATTTCAGTGCTTTTGGCATGATGCTAGGACAACATCAATGTAGGAAAATTGCAATAAAATTTGGCCATTTTAGATTTTGTCTTGATGAGTCGCTTACTAAAAATTGCAAGTGACTTTTGTTTCTAGAAAAGGAAATGGTAGATACATGGTATAGTACTTGTGGTCCATGTAGTACTACTCCACGTGTGATCATAGTCCCTCTCATAGCGAGTTTATATTCTTAAAGGAGAATGCACAAACATTTGAAAAGTTAATCAAAATTAATCAAAGCTTAAGTTCAAGTCTCTTCCTGTACAGAATATTCTCATACTTTCCTAGCCCAGTGATACTTCCTCTTTCCCAAGAATGTCTAGGAAAGGAATGAGAATGTTTTGTGGAGGAAGAGGGTCTTGAACTAAACTGGGAGTAGATATGGATAGAGGAAAAGATAGCAGTGGGCACTCCAGGGAGAATGGAAAATAATTTGGGCATGAAAATGGAAAGGTGCAGGACTTTGTTTAGGCAGTCTGAATTTCAAAGGGATTACATATGGTAATTAGAATTTAAAATTTCAAAATAGATTTGGCATGTATTTTTATCAGCACAGAGAGGAACGTTTTGATACTTTGTGTAGTGAAAAGAGCTACATAAAATGGTTTAAAGAATGATAAAATAGAATTGTTTTGCATTTTCAGTTTACATTTTTATGTTGTGTGAGTTGTTTCTAGATAATTTTAGTTTTCAGAGTGTCATTGATCTTCTCCTTATGTCCCTAAGATGACAGAAGCTAAGGTAATACTGATGAATCTTGGATGTTGGATAGAAATCTTAGACCACCTTGCATGTTATTACAACTTTAAAGGTTATACTTGTAGGATATTGTAGACTAGCACACATCTCCCACTTGTCTGTTTTTGGCTATTATAGGCATTGTACACACATTATAATATACACTTGGGCTATTTGTTGTTGTAAATGGATTTTTTGTGTTGCAGCATGAAAAGCTTGCCATCTTAATTGGAAGTAGATATTTTCTTTACTAAACTATGCTCTATACATGGATTGCTTTATTTTAATACAAAAGTAATAACATATAAGCGGACAAAATGAGCAAAATTGAAGGGGCTTCTGCTTCTTAGGGAATGAGGTGCATGTGAAAAGCAGAGAAGGTTTTCTATCACTGTAATAAAAATAGACTTCTAAACTGGCCATTCACCGTATCAGCTATTTTTGTAACATTTCTGTCTGTTTATTTTTCAGCTTTTTTAATGCAACTCAAATGAACTAAAAACAGAAGATTTTTAAAAATGAAGTAATATAAAGATTGACCTTATCTCACCCTACTCCCCTCCTTGCTTCTCTGCTCATCCATATAGCACCTGTCTGCTCTCACCCTTCCCATGTTCTCGCCATTGTTGGTGCAAGATTTCTACAGCTTCCGTCATCTGGATCAGCCTTCTTGTTACCTAGATTTCCTCAACCATCTCTTTCTTCAAGTCTTATTCTAGCCATGCTCTGTTGGCCTTCTGTTTTGGTTTTTATTTTGGGCTTGCAACTAGGTGCTTTAATTTCGTTATTATGCCATGTTGCTCCCCTGACTTTTACTTTTTTTACTTTCTCCTGTCTCATATTTCATTTTTGTACTACATTTTGAGAAATAATATTGCAATAAAATGTTGTTAGTAATGCTTTCAGACTTAACTAGTAGTTTTTTTTAATGCAATCTAAGGTTTAAATTTTATTTTTTGGGAACTGTAGAATCATTTTGAAAATCAAATAAGAATAGTTTCATATGTTTCTTTTATACTAGTACTAGCATAATATATTGATTAGTATAATAGGTTGCTTGTCTTTACCCAATGGAACTGTAGCCCCAAAGGCTTTTTGCTGGGTAATTATGGGCGCGTTCTCTGCTTTGCCAACCCAAGTGAGCTCAAGGCGTTGAAAGACGGACTGAATATTAGGCTGGGTTAAACTATTCACATAGAAGATCAATGGACTCTTTACTGAATAAATATTTTCGACACCTAATTTTGATGTACCTAGACTATTGTTTGAGGTGTAATATAAACACTTAAAAATGAATAAAAGAGCTTCTTTATGTTTTGGGGTGAGAAAATCCATATTGGAATGCTGAATTTCTTCTTTTTTACAGAGAATACACATTGGCAAGTTGAGAGTTATCAACCTGTGAAACAGTATGCAGATTTGTGTCTTCCACTGTATCACATCTGCTAAAATTTTAATTTTTAATATTAGTTGTTTTTGTTTTCTTTTGCTTAATCTAATAGCTCTGTGTTTTGTGTGTTCCCCAGTGATCATGATGATCAGTAATGCTTTCAGTGTTTATATGCTTAAATTCTTTTGTGATACAGATAGTGCCAGCTCCCTTTCTTTCTTAAGAAGACTCCCCTTGGCCCTGAATTTTTTTTACTCTTATCCACATACTTTTACGAGACTGTCTCTTTAGCATTTTTATGGCTTTTTAGGCTAACACATGGTTTTTGTAGATCCGAGAGGAGATCTTTTAAAGTAATAAAAGTGGTTTTCCTCAAGGTCAGGAAAAGAGCATGTTTAACATCATATGATTGAGAATGAAGTGGGTTTTTATAATCTTCTCTCATGAATGACATTGACCCAGCCATGTTCCATTTTAGACCAGGCATGTACAGAAGACCTTTATGAATTTTGCTTGATTCAGACTACCGTTTGGAACAGAATCAATTTAAAATATGAAAATTACACTTATAAATGTACATAGAAATCTTGTATACAAATATATACTCAATAGCTTGCAATTGCCATTTCTTCAGTGGCGTTTCTGCTATGAGAATACATTATCTAATGATAAATTTCAGGTTTTAAGTAAATTATTTGCTTAGAACTTAGTTGTAGAACTTTCCCACAGAGGTTTTGTTTGCTAGCACTGTTGGTAGAAACCTAGTTTATTCTTACATTTTTATGCTTCCACATTTGTAGCAAATAGGCCCTCCAGTAGAGAATTTTCCTAATAATTGACAGAAACAAGATTTATTCTTTATGTTTTTTATAGTACATTTGTGGCAGCCAGGGTTTTTTTAAAAATAGAAACTAGGCAAAACTAGCCATTTTTAATCTGTTTTCATTGCAAATCTACATATTGAGAGAAAGTCTAGAAACCTGTCATCTTGGGCATTTAGACATAAGTTTAGCATACTCTTTTAATTCTAGAGTATTTTGTGATCGACATTTGATTTCTAATTGCCTAAAAATAGGTTGCCAAATATAGTTCACTCATAAAGCATCGTCCTTTTATTAACTTCTCTAAACTGTCAACCTTGTTTTGAAAAATTGCATTACTTTTCCTTTAAACAGTGTGGGAAACCAAAATAGCCTGCATGTGTTTTATTTTTAATTCCTTGAGGCTGGGAGGAAAGGGACGGTCACAGTGTGCTTCAAACAATGAAAATACACTGCATGCCAAAATAAAATGGAGGGACAAAAATTAATACCAGGTTTTAAAGATGATTACCTGTTAGTAATATTTTGAAAATAACACATACTTCTAAATGAATAAGATGTACATGTAAAGTTATTTTTGTTTTTCTAGGTAGTTGGCAAAAAAGGAGAAAGCCACTAAGGTACAAAAGACACTGGAAGAGCATATTGCAATCAGATCTACAGCTCCTGGATAATTGCTTGATTCTCGCCAGAGACTGTCAATATTCCCTTCATTGCCATTACCAATAAATCATTGCTTTTGTTCGGATGGTATCACTAGTGTTTTTATTGTAATCTTGATACATGGAGTTGTAAATAAAAGTCACTACTTTTGCCAAGCTTAATTTTTGTCATTTTAAATAAGTATTTTCCCTTTTCATTTATTTGAAAATTGGCACACTTCTGATTTTAGAAAGGACTTACGTGTCTGCTAGTATATTGATTCAAAGCTAGTTTCTTTCTATAGGGGAGCAAGACTGTTTTATTAGGGAATTAAGGAGTACATGTGTGCTCATGTACACACACAGCAAGTGATTTTGATAAATGGACTTAGAACAGCTAAGTATGGTAAAATGAGTACTAACTCATGTTTATTAAACATTTGGGTATCTGAGCCATAGAAATTGCTCAAGTTATAACCTACTAGAAATAAGTTTAAAGAGATTTAACTGTTCTCACCTAAAACTGTTAATGGGACCACAGATTTTAATCCCTTCTGGATGACCTTTAAAAATTTGAGTCAGCCATTTTCTTTACTAATAGAGAGGTATGTTGAAATCTGAGCATGGGGGAAAATACAGTACTGTGAGTTCATGCAACAACAGGAATTAATATTTTTAATCAAGTATTTATTAACTACAAAAAAGATAGTGTGTTAATATACAGAGAATGGGATTGAAGGTTGTAAGTGAATTGGCCAAATAATACGTTTGAAAGGTGTTTCACGAAAGGCTAGCAAAACAAAACATGTTACTACTTTTTTTATGTATTAAAACTAAGCTAGAAAGTATGGTACATTTAATATTTTAATTTCTATGTTTTTAAAATGAAATTTTAATTTTAACTTCTGAATATTAAAAATTCAAATGTTTGAAAAGAGTACATAGACTATTAATTTTGATGCAGTTAATACCTTTGAGGGCATTTTTGTGTAGAAATATGGTTGAGATAGCATTTTGCCTTTGGGAGACCAATGTATACATGTTTATGAAAAAATTATGCAGAAGTTTTGTGTTTAAACGGTCACTTTCTAAAACCCCAGTGTCATTAGATAGTGTTTAGTTCCTTTGTATGTAAGCACATTAACTGGTCTGTGGTAATGTCTATATATCTTATGTATTCATAGTTATTACATTGCCTTGAGCTGAGTAGGGAAAGTGCAAGAAATAAAAGCTTATAACATTCCTTAATATAGAGCATCTCAGATTAATCACGTCTGAAATTAGAGATACGATTAAGAACAAGTTTTGTTTGACATTTTGTATACTTTTTTGGGTAATTGTTAAAGTGCCTCATCTTAAGTATTGCTGACCTCATCATCCTGTTTATACTTGACAGTTTGAAAACCAGTGAAAGTAATTTCATATTTGTAAAGGATTGGGATCAGATTTACATTGTTTGTGTGATTCTTCTATAACAACTGGTTGCATTATACAAACATTCCATGATTATTCAAATTGTAAATCGTGAAAAATGAATGTTTGTAGGTGACTATAACATTTCACTATGGGAAGTTTTACAAATAAACATACGTAGTTGACATTACTTAAATCACCAAGCTGAAATGCTATTTTATCCTAAAACAGTATGTGTGTGTGTGTATACACACACGTATATACATATATATTACATATATATACACTGAATTTTGCAGATGAATAAAAGGAGCATTTGAAAAATGCTAGTTATTTTAACCAAAACCATCCCTGAGATAGTGTTTTCTAGAAAACTAATATTAGGTTTATTATTATTATTTTTTAAAGATTTACCTGTTTCCAGAGAGAATGCCTGAGTGGGGGAGGGGCAGAGAGAGAATCCCAAGGAGACTCTGCGCTGTCAGCAGAGTCCGATGCAGGGCTTGAACCACGAACTATGAGATCATGACCTGAGCCGACGTCAGACACTTAACCAAATGAGCCACTCAGGCGCCCTTAATATTGGGTCTATTATTTGTTTTGTCAGACATAGCACATAGCAGAAAAAACAAAAACACCCCAAAAAACTTTTCCCTTGATTTTGCATATTATATTGCACATCAGGATGCATCATCTGATTTGAAACAATAATGAAATAATCCATAATAGAAACAAAAATATTTTGAGTACAGAGTCTTGCAGCATAAGGCCGAGATCAAGGGTAAGCTACTCTTGTGCCCATGGCGGACTTTTATGATCTATTTTGGCCAAAGCATCCCCCAGTCTCATTGTACTGGAGGTATCTTCTTAATCTGTAGGAGTTGACAGGTGAATTGAAACCTGTCTTCCATCTTTGTCTCAAGACTCGAGGATCTATGCTATAGTTTTGGCAGTGTTCACAGGGGTGCTAGTATTGCACATTTGGCCTCAGCACTTTATTTATGGCTGCTATTTAAGAAGAATTTTTTGGGGGGCGCCTGGGTGGCGCAGTCGGTTAAGCGTCCGACTTCAGCCAGGTCACGATCTTGCGGTCCGTGAGTTCGAGCCCCGCGTCAGGCTCTGGGCTGATGGCTCAGAGCCTGGAGCCTGTTTCCGATTCTGTGTCTCCCTCTCTCTCTCTGCCCCTCCCCCGTTCATGCTCTGTTTCTCTCTGTCCCAAAAATAAACGTTGAAAAAAAAAATTAAAAAAAAATTTTTTTAACATTTATTCATTTTTGAAAGAGCACGCAAACGGGAGGGGGCACTAGAGAGAGAGGGAGACACAGAATCTGAAGCAGCTCCAGGCTCCGAGCTGTCAGCACAAAGCCTGACACGGGGCTTGAACTCACGAACTGTGAGATCATGACCTGAGCCGAAGTCAGCTGCTCAACCGACTGAGCCACCCAGGCGCCCCTATGGCTGCTGTTAATACACCTGAGATGGAGGGTAGGAGGCTTTTTTACCTAAAATGGTTCAGCAGATCTTCTCATGTTCCTCTTAATGTCTAAAATAAATCTTTAATTCTGAAATAAGAAAGCACTGGAGTAAGTTAGTTTGAACCATCTCCTTTGTAAGCGTTAAGAAAATGAAAGAACTTTAGG